CAGATAGACCTTAGGATTAGGGTAAAAGTTCGGCATAACATCATGGGCCGAAGAGCCTGTACTGTTCTATGTTCTATGTTCTCCCCTTGCTGCTCTGTCTTGTTGGTGTGGTATGGCAGAGGCTAGCTTTCTGTTTTAGTGGCCCCTGTTTTGTGTGACTATCAACATCACCTGCCATGTAGTAGATATGGATATCTGGATATAACTGTTTGTTTCTTTCAAACTGAACAGTAGATGCTGGGGTTTTCCTCCGATGGCTCACCCCTGCCTGTGATACTTCTACCTAATAAAATATAGAAAATGTTATGATACTAGGGAGGCCATTTGGTCTGTCATGTCTGTGTCAGATATCCTAATAAAATGTAAGTGGTTACTCAGACTAAATATTTCAGGATGCTTTGTCTGTAAAGTCGTTGTAAAATTTTTGTTCTGTTGCTTTGCAGACACTTAAGTTGCCCAATTGACAAATGTGCCTTTGATTTTTCACATTCATTTTTTTCTTTTTGAATAATTTATTTGACCAAGGGCAAACTTTGACAATAACTAAACTCTCTGACCAGCTGGAATAAATCCAAAATATGGAAAGAACTTGAGCATTATTGACTTGAATTCTGTGTTCTAAAATAATTAACTTCCATTTCTGGATGGAAAGATTATATTAAAAAAAATTTAAACGGGCCTGACTAGGCCTGGGCTCACAGTGGGGACTTCTTGATCACAATGAATTCTGACTGTAAAAAAATGCTAAGTTATTTATAATTAAATTTGATAAGATTAGTTTAAAATAGACCATAAACTCTCTTGTACTGCTGACTTATCTCAGCAAAGAGGTGGGTTACATGAACTAGATTGTTAGAATCTGAGTTTTTGTCTTCCTGCTTGTTTGAGGATTACAGATCTTGAGGCAAATTTGTCTTTGGAAATAATTTTATCACTAGCTTCACTGAGCAATTGTGTGATGGCAGTTATCAGATATTCAGCGTGGCAAGGTGTAAACCTTGTTCTAAATGTTAATATTGTGCAGCACTTGCCTGTAGGCTGGGAGTTCATGGGTTGGAATCTGGATTTGCTTGTCCTACCATTGCACGTGGATGATGAAAAAACTGAGCACTCGCACAGAGGAGAGTGTACAAAATTTAGTTTTTAAATTGAGTTGGAACTGGGGAAATTAGATGAAAATAGACATTTAACTTTTTATGAGGTCTTTCACTACCTGTAAATATTTGTGAATGAATTGACTTGTGATTCTAACTTTCTTTTCAACGTTATTTCTTCAGGCTTGGACAGATTGCCTCTTCCGGTCACCAGATCCCGCACCTCTGCCAAGATGGGTCCAGCAAGTAGCAAAGGATTTGTGTAACATTGTTGGATGGTTATGTTTGATGGACCAGCCACAAAAGGGACTGAATAATGTCAACACTACACTGTGAATGCTGCTATCAGTTGGGTTTCGAAGTTCCAAGGCCTTCTCGTGATTCCAGGTTCAAGGAACATGAACTTTTAAACTCAGGATTGGACAGTTCCTTTCAGCAAATCCCTGGACTCCTGGGGATGCCTCAAATTTCTCTCTCCCACCTTCGAGAAACCAAACTTTGTTTACATCAGTCGAAGCTGGAATTACCATAATGAGTGAGACCTCATTATCTAACAGTTACGCAACTACTATGAAATGGAATTAATCCAAAAAGGCAGATATTTCAAACAGTTAAATGTTTACATTACATATTCTGTGCAATATGTTTTTTTTAAAAATGTGGTTTTAGTCTGTTTTATTTAAAGTGTTTTCCATCTTTGGATGTTGCCAGTGTCTTTTCTAATTTACTGTTTATTGGTTGGTGTTCCTTCCATTTTTTTATTTTAAACTGTTTTCAAGTAGTGCCTGTCAAAATGGCTACATTCTGAAGCATTTCCATGTCTGCCAGTAATAGTGGAAACTGGGGTTAGGAGTGCTGAAAGCTGTTCAGAATAAAGCTGAAGTGTGCATTTTCTGTATGGAAACACATTTTTTTATAAAGTGACTAAGTTTGAAGAGTTTTGACCGTCTTAATTATTGCAAGATGCTGTTCGGGAAAGTCCTCCAGGATATTTCTCCAGATCATGCACCTTCCAGAATCATTTAATAGAAGCAGTGACAAGTACTGCTGACTGAGCACGCCCAGGTTTAACCATGCAGTGAAGAAAATTAGAGCTTAAGTGAGATTTACTAATTTAACTGTCAGAGAATACTAAGTCGTAAATGTGAATCTTTTGGTTAAGATTTGGGCAGAAGAGATGAGATGGTTGTCATTGTATTACTTGTTTCAATGCAAAATTACTGGAGTTCTAAGCTGCACTGATTGCTGGCAATTTTCTTTAGTATTTACTAAACTGGTGTTTTGTAAATGGAGTGGGTAATGTTGGCATTAAGGATGTTAATGAAGCCAAACTCGTTGTCCCATTGCTTGGTAATAGTTTTTACATCATTAACCTTTTTTGTTCTGTTAATGGATTAAGTGTGTCAGGAGCTCAAATTGCATCTCTGCAAACATTCGGGTTGCTTTCTGCCTGGCCCAAAGGCAGAACTTCACTCGATTGAAGGATTGAATTGAATTGCATTTCATTTCTACTAGATTTGAATGGCACTAACTTGAGTTATCTGCCAGCACGGCGGATTAGAGAGGTATCTGTACACAAGTGTAGTCTGTATAAATAAATGAGCTGTCGACAAATCATTCCCATTTCCAACATCAAAAACCAGATGATTAATGCTTTCTAGCCACTAATCTCTGTGTGGGTTTATTATAAAATTGCTAGTGTTAGTTTAGGCATTTGGGTTGTTTTTTCCACCGGAGTCCAAAGCTTTTTTTTGTGTAACAGCTTGCAGATATTATGGTAAGCCAATTTTTAGAAGTGGTGGTCACCTTTGATGCATTTCTGTCCACCATAGCCTGCACTGCATAACCAATTGCTAGAAGGGTGCACGTGGGTACTGGCTCTTCTGGTTTCCTTGTGGTGACTGTCTGGCTCCCCTGCAGTGCTTCTGACTCCTATTGGTGAGGAACTTCCTCATGATGGCATCAAAATTTGGAAATTGAAAACTCCTGTCACTGCAAAATGTTTGACAAATAACTCTAATTACATCCCTGCATCTTGGTCATTCGGTCTTTGTCCCAGGCAGAAAGTAATTTCAAATGTTGCTCCTAAAATAGTGCTGCATAATTAATTGCAGTTACAAATTAGGCTAGTTTGCAGCAGTGGTAGATAATTGTAAGATATAATTTGTTCTGGGATACTATTTAGGTTTTATTTGAATATAAGAGTTGATTTAAGCTGTGTAAGCCTGTAAAAGATTCAGAAGTGGTGATTTCTGCAAAAGAACAGGCATCAATGGTGTGAAGTACTTGTGCTGGAAGCCAAGCATATCAGTAGATGTCAGTACAGTTGGACAGAAACTTGGAGGGAACTTTGCAGTTGCTACTTGAGCAGAATAGATGTGACTTTGCTCAGCATCCCAGTACCAACCAGGATAAAGGTTGATTGTTTGGAATTTAGGAGAGGAGTGAGCCAAGTCTGACGGCTATTTAAAGTTCTTAAAGTTGAACTTGAGTGAAGTCCTATTCTGTTGATGCTAGCTTGAAACATCCTTTATGAAGGGTAGTGGCCATTTTGACAGTTTGGGATGACTCAGTGTTTATCCTTGCAGCTGCTTTGCCTGATTTCTCTGGAGGTCTTTGTATGACTCCACCATTTGTTTGTGTTGAACTTCACTCCGACCAACCACGTGGATTGTGATGGTTGAAAATAATTTTGATTTCTCAAATGCAACAAAACTCTCTCTTGCAGTGTTTAAAAAGGTAATTATAGAAAGAAATCCAGATAGATCCAAGCTGGTTGTTGTGGGCTAGTCTTTATATCAATCCAAATGATTTGAAAAAGCTGAATGGACAGTTTGCATTCATACCTTCAGCATTATGAATTGGAGGAGGAGGTTGAGAAGTGTTCACAGTTTTAACTCCAAAACATGAGTTTGCCAAGTGTCTTGTATCAAATAGGCATCCTGGAAGATTTAAGCTGTGAGAATATGTATGAATGAAACTAATATAGAATGCTTGTTAAAATCTGAAACCAATTTAGCTGAAAAATAATCAGCTTGTAAAAATGTATTGGCAGACAGCAAGTGTGTTTGAGAAGTAGAATGGAATTGGTTGCAGTGAAATTGACCTCTGGTTGCAATGAACAATGTTTGTCATCTTTGGTGCTCTTGCTACATATTAAATGTTTTTTTCATCACAGTCAAATTTAAGTACAATGGATGGAAATACAATTTGGAGAGCATAGTTTTTTTTTTCACCACACTAGTCTATAAATTAACTATTACCGAATGCCTTTTTCCAATGTGTTTCTCATTTCATCACTTTGTTATGTATGTAGTGCAAATTCATTCCCCAGATGGATGCCAATTAATAAGCCATGTAGATCAGTTGGTCTGCTGCCCTCAATGCAAGCAGCTCGCTGCTTAGGCTGGTACACGAAGGGCTATTTGGCTATAGACAGACTGGTGCCCATTGGACTGTACCCCAATGTGAGTCAATGCCTTTAGAAGAGGAAAAGATAATGTTGGGAAGCAATTTGTTTCAGCGAGCAATGACTCTTTGCTCCCTGTCAGAATATCTGTCTCTCTCATCAAAAATTGACATTCCAAATGTAAGGTTCAGATTTTTTTTCAAACCTGTGAGGACTTTTTGGCTGAACGATGAAAATTCCCAGTTATGGCGAATATCCTGAATGCTGTGTTAGTTAAGGAATCGCAAATACTTGGGAGGTCTAGCATTCCAAATTTCCAGCAGCCTGATCTCCTAAAGTTGCTCTATATTGGAGTGAAATGGCTTTGATTGTATAATCATCTCCTATGACTATGTCTTTTTAAAAACTCCATTGTTTGGTAAATGTGTTGTGATTTGAAATTGTAATGTAATCTGTTTGTATCTTTGTGTACAATCTGTTAAAGACAATACAAGTAAAATGCATTTTTTAAAAGGTCCTGTTTGTTTTCACTTCTTAACTTAATTGTGTAAGACTCCAGTCCCTATTTAAGACTGTGACATGAGTCACCAGTTAGGGTTTTTCATTTTTCTTTTGCTCTTGGACATTTTTTACTTCTATGTTTCTCACAGCTCTTGCACGTATGTGGCGGGTAAATGAGTTGAATTTGTAGCATGAACAGAGAACACTCTTCCATTTATTTATTTCAGCTACGAATGTTAACCTGTTTTCATATCCTCCTGCCTTCAGAAATGGAAAAAAAAACAAGTTTTAACTGTCAAACATTTTTAAAATAGTGTTGTCAAACAAGTTGTCTTATTTTCATGTTCAAAAAATGGCTGATAACTGCAGTGTAAGCAAATTTAATAGTTCAGTATTTTTAATAAACAGCCAATTAAATACACATTCGAAAAAACAAGCAAAGATGTTGCCATTTAGTGACTTGACTGTTCCTTCTGACATTGACTGCATACAAACTAATATCTGCCATGATCATATCTATACCAGAAATGGATGATTCCAACAGCAGGCCAATCGTAGGGTGGAAAAAACTGTTTTATTGTAAAACAATCTCTCGCTCCATTTCCGATCTTTTTGTTTTTTTTAAACCCCCATTCGAAACTCCGAAATACCATTGAAGAAAAATGAACGAGCAGCAAAATAGCACCCCTTCCTGATTAGACAAGATGTTAATCTGCTTTTTTTCTGAACCGCAAAAGTGTTGATGATCTTTGTCAAACTGAGTCTATTGCACTAGACATGCACTTTTTGTCAGCTCTAACGTGCCACAGGATTTTAATGAGAATGAATAAGTGCAGTCCTGCTTCTCTAATGGTGTGGTGACAGTCGCTTGTATTCAGAGGCATTTATTCTCTGTGGATACACTTTGCATGTCGAGTGTTCCTCTCCAAGTGATTCACCTAGCCTGGCTACTTTACTCATGCCAATTGTGGAGCCTGTAAGCTTGAGCATAGTTTAGACCAGTTACCTTGAACATAGTTGCACATTATAGCATGTTTAATCTTTCAAAAGCATTTTCTACATTAAAGATTAAATGCAGTGAATGCTGCCTGACATGCTGTATTTCCAGCATCTGTAATATTTACTTTGCACTTGGTTGAGATTCTACTTTACTGTCCTCCTAAGCCTACAATAAATGACTGGCCAATGTATGATATCCACATCTGTTCTTTTGGTCATGGTATGGCCCCAATAGCACCTAATTGTGCAGTTCTTTGACACACCCTCACCCCTTCAGTGATCCAAGTGCAATACTTCAGCCTGGCACTTGCTTGGCTTTTATTAGAGAAAAGTTGGTTAGTATGTTGGTGTCATGAGTGAGATGCTCTCTCCTGTCTTGAAATTGAGAGATCATCCATACATTGGAAAATAATCCTCAATCCTTAATTGGAACTAGAATGGCAAACTTTGCAGGACTATGGGAAAAGGTAGGAAAATAGCTAATTGGGCAATTCTTTGACCCAGTCTTTCTTTCCCTCTTTTTATTTCTGTCCTTTTCAGTCACCAAGGCCTCCTGTGGGTTCTGGTTCACAAAACTAACTTGGGATTTTACATTAATCACAATCTGGGTTAGTGGAGTCCTTTTTACGGGCTGTGGAGTGGGAGGAAGGTGAAGAAAGTTTCTGGTAATTTTTCAGAAGTAGCAAGACCTCTAAATCAGTTGGAAGAAAGTTCTGGACTTTTTACAAGAAGCCGT